TCCTCCTCCTCCTCCTCCTCCTCCTCCTCCTCCTCCTCGTCCTCCTTTTTGCAAACCTCTCTGCCTTCTAGCACCGAGTAGGTTGCCTAGTTGGGTCATGAAACGTCTGCAAGAAAACCATCCGACTCAGAGAGCACCGAAGTCCTCCTCCTTCTCCTCCTTTCTTCCTCCTCCTCCTTTACTCCTTTTCCTCCTCCCTTCTTCCTCCTCCCTTCTTCCTCCTCCCTTCTTCCTCCTCCTTTCTTCCTCCTCCTCCCTTCTTCCTCCTCCCTTCCTCCTCCTTTTTGCAAACCTCCCTGCCTTCTAGCACCAAGTAGGCTGCCTAGTTGGGTCCTGAAAACCAGGCAGCTCAGAGAGCACCAAGCAAAAACTAACATCCACTTCCCAGGCCGTTTTATTCAACCTTGCCCCGGCGTGTGGTGAGCCCCGCCCGAAGCTCCCCCCTTCGTGCGCTTGGCTGCCTCTCCGTCCTGCTCGGGGGCTGCCCTGCCCAGCCATGAAGGCCTCCCCTTGGCCGGCTGCTCTCCCCCGCTCCCACATTCCACCGGGAGAATGTTGGGGGCTGCAGGCAGCTCTTCCTGACGTCACACAGCCCCCATTCTATGATGTCAAGCTGGAGAGAGCCGGAGGATGAGCGGGCTGCTCCTCTGCCTTCTGGCCCTCATCACAATCTGGACCCTGCATGCCCAGGAGGACAACTGCAAGTAGGTGCCAGCGGGCGGAGCAGGGCGGGGGTCCCAGTCCAGCAACCCCTCCCTCTTTCTGCCGAGGGAGAGGGGCAGCTGGCAGTTCCACAGGGTACAAGGCAGAACCTCTGCCAACTTGGGAGATCCACAGCCAGGCAGCCTCAGGTTCCTCAGCGACCATCAGCCAGTCAAGAAAAAGGCCAACCAGATCCCCAACCCTTGGGGAGGGGCAATGAGAGGCAGGCCAAGTCCCCCTCTCCCCCTCCAGTGTGGGCTGTGGAATCAAATGGGGGACCATCAGCCCAAAGGCTGGGATGAGCCCAGGGAGGCTTCCAACGTGGCCGCTGAGAGGGTGGATCTTCTCCAACCTGCCCGGGATCTGCATTTGAGACACACCTGGTGGGGTGAAGGTGACTGCCCCCCCTATTCAGAGTTTTGCAGCGTTAATTCAGCACCAGAGAAATAAACACAGGTGGCTGAGGCTTCATTTAACATCTTTATAAACATAAGAAGTAGATTTTACAAACCAGTGGTAGATTCCTCCGACATGGAGCAAACGTAGACAGAAACTAAGACAGCAAGAGCTTCGGCAGCAACTCGGGAGCTCAGAAATAAATATCAGTTTCACTTTAGTCCAGCAGGCAAGCAGACGAGAGAAGCCGTTTCATTTCCAACAGGCAGACTCGGAGCTCAACATAGCCGCAAAGTCGCGGAGCTTAATACGGAACCATTCCTAGGCTACTTCTAGTTTCAGTTTCCAAACAGTCCTCCTGGGCTGACTTAGTTGCTATGCCTATTCATCGGCTGACCTGGTTACCATGTTCTATTCCTGTTCTGCAGAGGAAAAAAGGGGGCAGGTGTTCCTCCACCTGTGCCCCCTTCTCGCCTCTCTTGTCCACCTTTCTGGAAATCCGACCACCACCGAGATCCAGGACTTCTCCTCCTCTTCCTCCATGACCCTGAAGCAACTAGGTCCCATCACTGGGAGCTTTTAAGAAGAGACTGGGACAGCCCCTTGTCCAGATTGGTGAACCTTTTCAGCACCGAGTGCCAAAGCAGGAGCATGTGCGCATGGGTGAGTGCCGGAAACCAGAGTAGCAGCTCCCTGGTCCGTGCGCCAAGAAGCTGAGCTTCTGGTTTCCAGCACATGCGTGCACACTGGCCATCTGGTCTTCTGGTTTCTGGTGTGCATGCGTGCGTGCATGCATGAAGAGGGACTGCTCTTCTGGTTTCTGGTGCTCCTGTGTGCATGAAGACCACTGGCCAGTGCACATGCGCGCACCAGAACCTGGAAGAGCAACGGGTGACGGCTGGCGTGCCCAGAGAGATGACTCTGCGTGCCGCTTCCTCACGCTATAGGTTCGCCATCACGGGGCTAGGGTCTCCCGCTTGAGCAGGGGGTTGGACTAGAAGACCTCCAAGGTCCCTTCCAACTCTTGTATTCCAAAGACATTGAGAAGGAGCTGCTAGCAACTCCTTGATTTGAAGGGAGCAGCAATGTGCCTTGCTACAAGAACACACACAAAAACACACAGACGCACAGACACCAAGGCTTATGATGCCACACATACAGAGGTTGTGATGAAGATAAATCCAGCAGCTGTGCATTGCACTCCTCTGCCACCTAGTGGTGGATTTTCAGCAGCTCAGGAAGGGAATGGCTTTTGGAAGTGCGCCCTCTGAAGGGCAAACACAGCTCCTTCGTCACCGTTTTCATCGCTGCTCAACTAGTTGTTCCCAACCGTGCAGGTTCTTCAAGCCACGAAGCTGATAGAAGTTGCTGCTAAGAGAATCCATTAGATCCAACAATTGTCTTTTGCTGGGAACTGGAAGTAAACTCTGGTTTCTGGAAAAATAATGCCAAAAATCGTGGCCATGTGACAATGGGATACCACAAATAAACTACACATGCAAAAATGGTTGTGAAACACCCCAAATGCAATCTTGCCTGTTCATGGGAGTCCCAAAGGTGCTTTCCCAAAAGACAGCTGGACTTTGTTTTCGCTTGAAGAGGTTTTTTCTTCTTATCCGAGAAGCTTCTTCAGTTCTGGCTGAATGATGGAGAATGGAAGGCTTTTCGTATTCCTTGCAGTCTTCTGGTCATTGGTATTCTTTCTGAGAGTCATTGAAGCCACTTGGAGGTTTATCTGTGCCCTCAGGATCACCTGAATCGGAGTGCAAATGGGTGCGGAATCTTCTGGAACCCCCCCCCCCTCAGTTGAGAGGGGGCTGTTGCATCCTAACATAGAGGGCCCAGCGGTGGTTTTCTGTCCTGTCTCATGAGGTGGATTTGTGGCTATGCAGATAGATAATTCCACAAAACATCCATAACAAAGTACATTTATGGGTACGTCAGGTCTCTTCATAACTCACATTTGTGACGAAGCTCTTCTATAATGACTAATCCTTTGTATATCGGCATTGCAGGTAAAAAAATGGTGATTCTCCTAACCCATCACTTAGCGATAGAAAGAAAGCTGTTATTGGTCCATGAGTCCAGGCAAGAATGGAGGAAACCTCCCTCAACCCCTCGAGGGTCAATTTAGTGACCAATCAGGATTACAGATGTAACCACGTGACATGAACTACATTTACCATGATTCATTCCCTTAAGGGGACAGCTCACAATTCCTAAGTAACTAATCAATAGACTGGCTGGGACAGCGCAGGTGGGCTGCTGGGGGTTCGCAGGGGTTCGGAAGAGCCCCTCGCTCTGTGCAGTTCAAAGAACCTCCCAATTCCACTCCTGGCTGGTCCCGCCCACCCCTCCCCTCCCCTCCCCTCCCAGGAGTCCCCACCTGGCCCGTTTTGGATGCAGGTAAGTGAAGGGCATGCACAGAAGGCAAAAAGGGAAGAAAATGGGCCTCCTGGAAATTTGGGAAGGCCGGAAACAGGCCCATTTCCGGCCTTCCCAAATTTCCAGGAGGCGCAGAGAGCCTTCAGAGCCCCGGGGAGACCGTTTTCGCCCTTCTGAAGGCTTAAGAAAAGCCTCCGGAGTCTGGGGAGGGCGAAAACGCCCCCACCCTGGTGCAGGAGGCCGACTAGGCCCCGCCCACCATGGCCACACCCACTCAACAACCAGGCAGAGAATCCTTTGGTGAAATTTCTGACGCCCACCCCTGAGATGGCCTCTTTGACCTCGCTTTCAAAGCATGGTTGCCCCGAAGGTGCCTTGAAAAAGCCCCTTTGTGGCAGGGGACCTGGGTTGGAGGTAGTTCTGGAGAGATCCACCGTAATGTCAAACAGTCACTAAAGCACCCCATCCTAAGTGGCGGATCACCTGCAAGTAAGGCTACCAAGGTTTCCTTGCTCTTGCTGTTTCTAGAGGTCTTTGCGGCAGGCGCCCCTTGGCACCCAGCCACTCCCTCCCTGTGGTGGGGGGCATCGACACTATGCCAGGCACCTGGCCCTGGATGGTCAGCATCCGGACCCCCTTCAAGTCTGGCTACCAACACACCTGCGGAGGATCGCTCATTGGCGCCAGGTGGATCCTCACGGCAGCCCACTGCTTCAGAGACATAAGGTGAGTGAAGGCAGGTGAGAGAGGGGCCAGGTGCATAGCTCGGGGGGGCGGGATGTTGCAGGAAGCGCTGCCTGTTTTGTAGGAAAGTCATGTGCGCGCATAAGACGAGTCACCTAATTGCTGCCTCCGTAGTTGTTGATTGTAAGGGAGGAAGCATCCAATTCAGTTGCTGCATGTGTAGCCTTTTTGCCGTGAGTTAAGACAGAACGCTGCCTGGGATGCACCATTGTGAAGGTAGTCTGTATGCCCTGTCTATCCCATGGCTACTCTATGGTGCCATATTATGGTGGTTTTATTACAGTTTTATCTTAACTTTAATATTTTATTTTGTATATTGTATTGTCCTCTCTCTCTCTTTCTCTTCTATCTATCTATCTATCTATCTATCTATCTATCTATCTATCTATCTATCTATCTACTATCTATCTCTTCTATCTATCTATCTCTTCTATATCTATCTCTCTTTCTACCTCTTATCTATCAATCTTCTATATCTTTCCATCTTTATCTATATCTATATCTATCAATCCATCCACCCATCCATCCATTTATCTCTTCTATACTGATCTATCTTATCTATATATACCTATATCTATGGCATTCAGCTTTGGTATTTTCCCACGTCATTGTAGTTGTGCTTTTAAAGCTGTAGCAACGTTTCGGCAGAATCTCATCTACCATCATCAGGCTTCTGTTCGTCTGTGAGTCAGACTTTTACAGTTGTTTCAGTTTTAAATTTGGGGCTAGCCAAATCTCTATCTATCTATCTATCTATCTATCTATCTATCTATCTATCTATCTATCTATCTATCTATCTATCTATCTATCCTTTATAATTTCTCTTTATCCCTTTATCGGTCTGTCTGTCTGCCTATCATCTATATCATTCTTCTATCATCTATCTATCTATCTATCTATCTATCTATCTATCTATCTATCTATCATCTATCTACCATATCTTTCTATCCATCTTTCTATTTCTATCTATTTCTATCATCTCTCTCTTCTCTCTCTCTCATTTGCTGATGTTTTATTTAAACTCATTTGTATATCAGTGATTGCCTGACCTCTGTAGATGCCACAGGCTAAATAAATAAATAAAAAATAAAATAAAATGAAGCTTTCATCACACCATCACAGCTGCCATCTTGACCACACTCCGTGCATACCCCTGAGTATGCAGTGAGTATATGTCGATGCATTTCAGACGAATTTGAGTTCCAGCTTGGGGCTTAAAAGGCCCCGGGGAGTGGCCAGGTGTAGGTAGTATAGATCCTCTGTAGGTTCTGCTGCCTCTCTATGGCTTTAGTGTCTTGGACACAGCATCTGTCAGGCCCAATTAACCAGATCCATATGTGAAAGTTTCACATTGTCTACTTTATTTTGTTCTACCTATAGTACAAGAATCTCCCCAGACTGCTCTCTTTCTCTTGGGAGCAAACAGGTAAGGCTCCATGGAAGTCCTAATCCCTTGCAGCTGCGCAGTGACTCAAGGCTACTTCCCCACTTGATTACCCCCTTCCTTGCCTGCTCAAGCAGGCGATTTCATGCCATTCTGATCACTGTCCAGTCTCTTCTTAAAAACTTCCAGGGATGGAGCACCCACAACTTCTGAATCAAGCGGTTTCCATGGATTAATTGTTCTCTTGGGAAATTTGTCCTTTGTTCTAGCTTGTTTCGCGCCTTGATTTCTCTTTGACCACCAGCCACAGGTTGGGGGCTCATTATCCTGAGGCTGCTTGAAGATGCCCGCTCTCCTTCCACCCTGAGGACTTTCTTGGGACAACTTCCTGCTTTGCGCGATTTATGGCGATGTAGACAGTCCAGTAACGGCGGGACAGGCATCCACGAAGCTTTCATTCTCTCCTCTCTCCCAGGCACCTGACCAATTGGGAACTGGTGTTCGGCACGAACAAACTGTCCCACCCAGGTCCCGATGCAGAGGTCCGCTTCCCCAAGAGGGTGGTACAGCACGAGAACTACCAGCCCCGCCAGCAGATCAATGACATTGCCCTGGTAGAGCTGGATGACCCCGTGAAGTGCAGCGACTACATCCAGCCCGCCTGCTTGCCGGACAGCTCAGTGGACGTCTCCAACATGGTCCATTGCTATATTGCTGGGTGGGGCTACACGCGGGAGAAAGGTGAGAGTCTATCAGGCACAAACCACCTGTTCTGGCCGAGGCTTCACCAAATCACGAAGCAGACTCCTTGTCCTGACAAAACCCCTTGTCAGCTGGTGCTCCGTTCAAAATCCAAGAAAGAAATACTTAGACTCTTGTAATTAGAGAAAAGATTATCTTTTCCTGGAAGTCAGTGGTAGCAACAAGAAAATTGTGAATCTGGGGAAATAGGCACGCACATCACATACATCAAGGGAGTGAAATGTTCCCACCCCCAATAGTTCAAACGGTTCTTCCAATTAAAAGTTGTGAACTTCATCATGTGAACATCTCCAGGTGGTGATGTTTAGTTGACCTTGGCTTACTCAGAGAAAGGGTTGCAGTTGCGCAGAGAAGAGAAAGCTAAGCAGGAATTAGAAATCCTCCCCAGTTTAGCACCTTATTTCATTGTTCTCAGGTTTCGGAGTACAATGATAATAAATCTATCTATCTATCTATCTATCTATCTATCTATCTATCTATCTATCTATCTATCTATCT